TCACTCTGTCCTGACTCAAAGCAGCACAACAGTGTTGGTAACACATCAGTGTTTGGGCTATTGCTGACCAGTGCTTACACAACATGAAGGCTTTCTCTTTTTCTGACTCTGCCTGCCTCCCAACAAGTAGAAGCTTCTTGTCTATCGAGAAGCTAGGAACAGACATAGCCAGGATAGTTGCCCCCAACTGATCAGAGGGATATTCCATGTCGTATGATGTCACGCTCATCAAATAAAAGCTTAATGAATGGAGGATGCAGGGACATTTATGCTTACAGTATTTGTCTTCCCAAGTAAACATTATGTATGCTGAGACCAGGAAATAGCTGAACATCTGCCTGCTGACAGGATGCAGTAATTAAATACCTCATTCGCTTTGCCTGCACGCGGCTTTTGCTTAACCTGTTAAACCACCTTTACCTCAGTTCCCAAGTCTTGCCTGCCTTCTCTTTTCTCCCGATCCTGCAGGAGAAAGGAGCGAGTAGCTTGGTAGGTGCTTGTCAGTTGGCGAGCGTCAATCCATCACACCCACACGCGTGCATAGCATATTCCCACTTTTCACAGAAAACTGCCTCCTCACTGTTGTGACAGTCTTGGCCGAATTTATACTTCTCCGCACTTTCTGGAACAAGCACAGGCGAGACTGGAAACAGGCATCTTCCTCATGGGAATCACTGCCTGCTCAAAAAACCATCTCCCATTGATTAGCCTCTTTGCTTTGCACATTTACCAATGAAGGACACAAAACATCTGTGCACATCTGCCCCATGAGCATCTCTGTCTCCCTGTCAGCCAACAGGATGCAGGTCACTGGCCCAACCACCACAGTCCTTCCCTCAGGTGCTCGTTGTCTTGCTTGTATGTGCTCCCAGCTCTGTGATACATGGCCTGCGTAATAACGTAGGTCATGAGACCCAATCCATACTCCTCATCCTCTCGGCTGTGCATTTTTCCTCAGCTGAACTATGGGATTTCTGCCCCAAAACACCCACTCCATACACAGTGAACCCATGGATGACCATGATCCATCACCCTTCCTCTATCACAGGCACTTGCCTCTTATGCAGTAATCTCAACCATTAAAGAGTTCAGTTCCATTATACACCTTCCTTCTTCATATGCCATTTTTTGGTGTATGATCTTCTCCTACATTTGGTCTCTCTCAAGCTCTCCAGCACAGGGACCATCTTTTTCTTCCCTTGTAAAGGCTGTCCTGCCTCTCTAATCTGTTTTGAGTTTTTCACACTGTCAGGTGCATATTAATAAGGAACACAGGGCTGATATCTCTGGAGAGCTTGGTAGACTGTATCTCCAAAGCAATATCCTTCCCCAAAACCCTATACTTTCACTAGGGTTCCACGTGGTAACAGAGAGAAACCTTGTGTATGAAAATTTGATTAAAATACAGAAAATAAGAATAGTAGCAAATAGTCTCCTGTGAACAGGAATCAACCATGGAGTTCTGCAGGGATCAGTGATGCTGAACAGACAAGAAAAAAAATGACAGCTTCCAAAACACTTATTCATGTTTGTAACAATAAAGACCAAAGAACTGCAGAAATGCCTGACAGGATTTAGTGACCTGAACAACAGAGGGCAGTGAAAGGGGTCCATATAACATACAGCACAACATAAACAAGGAATTTCATGTTGAAGTCACTGAAATGAAGATGGTCCAGATCACCAGTATCTGGACTGGTTATCACCAGTATTTCAGCTCTGCTGCATCTTCCTACGCATCTCATCAAGTGCTGCTTCTCGTTCTCTTAAAAGCTGTTTAAGTCGTTTTATTTTTTCATCCCGTATCGTTTCATCTAAGTCTGGGGGAGTTAAAGGGAAAGCATCATCTCTGAAAGAACCTTCCAGAACTGAAGCATCACCTGCACAAGACACTAAATCTGGAAAACCTGAGTCTGTAACGTCACTGTGGTGACAGCACGGATCCTGCTCTGAGTCCCTCCCCAGAGACGATACGACACAGTCTGTGGAAATACTTTGCTGCGGTAAGACGGGTGGAGGTGAAACACTGCTGCTACATACACTGGAGCTGGTGTTTTCTGAACTTGGACTTGTGGTTGATTTGACTGAAGTCTTCCTTCTCTTTCCACTGTCTGACAGTGGTGAGGATTTTATTTTTCTTTTCTTAGTCAACTCCGCTTCCAAATTCACAGTTATCTGTACAGTCAAGAAACATACAAAACACACTTCTGTTAATTTGAGCATCATTCTACATTATAACATCACAATTCACTAATTACAAGTTACTTGTTGCAAGCTTCTTAGAATGACTATATGAAAGATGTTTCTTTTAGGAATTTGAGCAAAGTTTGTGTTCAGTATTTTTCTAGCACAGATTCCCAGTTCAGAATTCCAGAACACTCAACTCCTTCTTTAGTCCACAGCACACTTCGGCACTTCCTGTGCATACCTATCATCTCCTGTTGCTTCTTGAGGTCTTTAACGGTAGTGCAAGACAAAACCTTTCTAACTTGATGGGAAAATTAAAAACGTGGAAGAATTCTTCATGTTACATTTCCAAAAAGCTCAAATATTTAGCAATAATGTCCATGACAAGACTGCATTCCTCCCAGCTGTTTTGTTATTTCCATGTTAACATACTTTTAAGAGTAGCCGGCAGACCTGCTCAAAGCAGAGCTCTTAACACACAGTTATTAAAACCTGAGGAAGCCTTTGACTGGGTAGAGTAGAATCATACCAAGAAAAACTTAGAACACTGTGGCTGAACTACTTCAATGCGTTTCAATGGGGAACCTTTCCTGAAGCGCCCCAACAAGTTCTTGGCCAGTGACAAAGGACTAAGTTTACAAAGTAGTTTAACTCTAAAGATAAGGCAGTACATTTCTTTCAGTAAAACCACACATGACTAAGTGGCTCCTTTCTTTGGAAGCCAGCCACGCCTAGCCATGGGAGGGACTGAAGTGCCTTGACGTAACAGCACCTGACTGATTTCAAGGGTAATGCCTCACAAAAACAACTTCTGCTTATATCCCCTTTGACTGTTCAGCCACCACCAGAAGGTCCAATCTTATCCAAAGCATTTCTTCCTCAAATTTCCTTCAGGGGAACACAGAAGAGAGGATAAGCATTCTTAGCTGGTCGTAATCACTCGGGTCGTACCGAAATCACGCAAATCTGCTGCGGTACACAAACAAGTTGTAGGAACAATTCTCACAGGGACCATGACAATTACTGACTTGCCCTGATGAATCCAGAGGTGGGAGGGTCCAAACAAACATTGCCATTGCCTATACATATGCTGCTTTCTACAGGTGTTGCAGTACACATTTTAGTACTGAAAAATTTCAAGATACCTTTTCCTCTTTAACACATTCCAGATGTTCATTTGTTATTTCCACATCTAAAGATGATGAAGTGCAAGAATCACTTTTCAAGCTGTTACTGGAACAACTCCTTTCTTCTTGTTCCTCACAGGAGGTCCTTAATGGTATCCTCTTAAGGTACACTCGCTCCTCCTTAGAGAGGCCAAATTTTTTCCTTAATTCCAAGTATTGTTTCCAATGTGGCTTCTTTTGGTGTTTGATTTGAGTAACCCTTCCCAGTGAATCCATCTTTTCACACTGGATCTGAAATACAGAAACAGTGAGAGCACCATCAATCACACTCTCCATACATCTAAACTAAGAACTACTTACTAGAAAGTCAGGTGAACACTTGCTTTGTCTGCCATCCTCCAGACTTATATTTGACACAGGTAAGCCAATTTTGAGAAGTTATATACATATCATCGTAGGTCTAACACTCGTTAGTTATTTAAAACCCCAAGCACACTGTGGAACTTCCAGAAAAATGCACAGTCCAACTAGTAAACCACGGAAGTAAAAGAAGCAGTAAGGGAATTGCCTGTTCTAAAACTTCCAAGTAATGAAGGAAGATGACAGAAGATCAGACAGTGTTTTTACAGTGTCACTTTCAGACTCCTGAATGCATTTCATCACTATGTTGCGGCTGGCAACAGCAGGAAAGCACTATTAGCCATGTCTCAACCTCACTGTAACCTGAGCTGTTTCTCACGTCCAAATTCAGTCTCACATCAGTATGTCCGGCAGTCCATGGGCTTGCAAGTTTACAGGCTAAAAGCAGCCAACATTTGAAATGCGATTTTTTCAGAGGTTAAAGCAAATGAGAATGCTAACACTTGGCATCACACAGCACTGAAGAAAAAAAAAATTCTGTTTTAACCATTTTTCAGGTGAGGAACAATCAAAAAAGAAGCCCTAGAGCAATGATTAGATGTCTCAAGTTTGCACAGATAGGTTTAGCTGACATTTCTCTTCTGCCTGGTCAACACAAGCAAGTACAAACTAGCTTCAGAATGACTTTTTTATCTGGACACAAATTCAGTCTGGCCCCTGGAGCAACTGAAAACTTGACCTACAATAACTGATAGATAGTTTGTGGGATTTGAGGCTAAGGACTTCTTGCATATTTTCGATGTTATGATCTTAAAAGATTATGTAGGTCCAGGCTGAAGGGGGAAAGCCATTAAAGATCTCAAGAGCTTCTTCTGCTTGACATGAAACCATGAGTCAAAGGAGGTGGATCCCTCATCCACCCATCATGGTATGAAAGGAAGGAAACAGCTCCAGCTTTTGGCTACTACTGGAGACTGGAGCTGGCTGAACGCAACACCAGTTTGCCTCCAGACGGCAGACCCTGCTCTACCACCTTGTTTTCCTCTGGCATCGCTGCAGACTTCTCTACTTGACATCACACCCGCAACACAGTCACTGGCTGTGCTCTAAGAATGTGGCATGAACAACATTAGAAAGCAGATAGTTCCCAGAGCTCAAACAATTAACAACTTTCCCCCAGTTTCAGCTGTTACTGACAACGCATCTTGTGAGGAAATAAGAAGTCACCTTTTCCCTGTCCCTTTCTTTATGTGTTCTCTCACTTGCACAGTGCAATTTATTGAAAGAAAAGAAGATCATTTATTGCATAAAACCACACTGTCATTTCCAGAGCCAGGATACCTGGTTACAACAGCCTGTGAGCTAATTAACAGCCATGTTAACAGGACCATAGAACTATTTAGCAGAGACTGAGATGGGCATGTTTATTGGAGAGTTACCTTTTGCCAGTCTTCACTGAAAGCACACTCCTGCTCAGACTGAGGGAAAACAGCACTCGCTGCTTTGGGGGACTGAATCTCTTCTTTGCCGCTTGGGCACGCATTTTCCTGTGTCCCTACTGCTGTAACAGGGGTCACTCCACTTGAAACGCTCTCAGTGAAGGGCAAGCTCTTTCTCTGGTTTGCAGTGGAATCCTGCTGATTAGCACTTGGTGTCACCAGAGCTACAGGTGCAGATTTTAAGCCAGTTGGTGAAGCATTTTTTGAGTCTGTACACGTTTCTGGATATTTCTGAGACAGCACCATTCCCTTGCTTTTTGACAATACCAGATTCACTACCTTATTGGTTATTTGATTGACTGCAGTAGAATCAATGAGCTTGGATGTGTCCTTTTTAAGTGAAGCATCAGAAGAGGAAGATGCCTGTTTGTCAGCTTGGGCTGACAGAACATCAGAGCTTCTTTTGGCCAACAAATAGACTTTCCCATTGTACATGACCAGAGCATTATCTTTAATAGGCATGATTTTTGTCTGGCTTGCACCAGGACCACTAGAACAGAGTGGTGGAATATTTGCACAGTTAACTTCTGCATTCTTCACATCTGACAGAGTTTTCAAGATCTTGGAAGCCATATTATTTGATGACTTTACAGGAATAAGGCAAGGTGCCGATAACTGTGGATTTTCTTGCACGATCCATTTCATTGGAGTTTGCTGGCCATCAGATGTTACTGTCTCAGAAGAAGAACTATTTCCTTTATCTGTAGCTGTCATCACAAAAGTCTGTGAAACTTCTGTGGCAGGTTTTGGGCAAATGGCTTGCAAACGCTTGGGAAGTACTGTTTTCACTGTGTTCACTGGTGACACGTAAATAACCATTGGCATTTTTGTACTGTCAGCTCCTCCAGATGCATTTGCTGCTGCAGCTGCAAATATTTTTTGTTGTATTGTAGGTGGTAAAAAGGAAGCTGGGACAGATTTCACTTCTGCATCAGCTGGTATCTGGAGGTGGTGGCCAGAGGGCAGTACTGGAGACTTCGCAGCCGCTGGAAGACTTTTTGTGTTTACCACCATGTATGCAGTATTACTCTGGTTAGATGAACTTGTTACAGCAACGTTCTGCAAAGACAGTCTATCAACTGAAACACAACTGCTCTGGATGTTAGCTGCTGGTTTGGGAATCAAGCTTTCTTTTTCAGAACCTGCCCTAAGACTTTCCTGTTTGTCTAATGTCCTTGTAAGAATAATCCTTCCAGGATTAGGAGACTGAAAAACAGGTATTTTAACAGATGAAGGTGCAGTAGTATTGGTAAGCTGTGTCTTAAAAGTAAGATGGACTGGACTAGAAATATTCACTTTAGGATTATTTGGCATGGCTGAAGACTGAACTATTGGCACAAAGCTTCCAGAAGATTTAGAAATTGGAAGTAATTTCAGAAGGTTTTTTCCATCAGGTCCCGTCGTCTGAACTACTCGGTACATACAGCCTGCAATGCTTAACAAAAAGAAAAGGGAAAAGAACAAGAAAAACGGAAGATAGCATAAGTGAACACAGCATAGATATTTTAATTAATGTTCATCAGTGAATTGTATACCCAGTGCTGCTATGCCTTAGAGCAAATTAACTATTGAAAAAATGCCAGATGGAATCTTCAGGAATTTCACTGGCAAAAAATCAAACTGATCTATTTGGTGTACATTTTGGGTTAGCATTTCAGAACACCACAGACTATCTAAAAACAGCGTCCAACTTTTACGTCACAGAGTAGTAAAAAATTGAGTCCTTTTCAGATAAAAATTAAAAGACCCAAGAAAACACCTTACATTACCCTCCTCTTCTACTTACAGGGCCTTTCATTCGGAAAAAGAAAAACATTATCTCCAGATTCCACAGAGGAGCTGTATTTTTTGCTTTGCCATCTCCCTGTTACTATTAATATCCCCGCTTAGTGCTACTTAGTATGAATTCCAGGAAAGCTTCGGGAAAATACAGGGAGAGTAGTTGCATGGCAAGACGGAAGCAGAAATGACTTCAGACATATATACAAAAAATAAAGATGCAGAATACAGGTATGTTGTGGAATAGAATGCAGGGTGACCAACTCATGCCTACGTCTCACCTGCCTGCTCATTCTTTAGGCAGACATAGACCACAAAGGTGGTCATCTTCGAAGAGATGACAAAAATCAACCCTTGAATGCTATCCAGGTACATACATTTACAGAACAGAAGTCTAAGTCTGAGAAGGAAAAGGCTTCAGAAACAAGGAGGAATACACAGAAACAGCGCCAGTGAAACCTGAAGAGTAAATGCAGATTTTTTGCAGGTGAAGATAGGAACTCAGAGCATCAAACAGACAGATAAAACCTTGTCAAACAAGAGTTAGTTGTGACTGCTTCCAATGCCAAGATCTTTCAAATCCACTGCAAGACAGAGAACCTTTCCCACTTCAAGTGAGCTTGCCCGAATGCAGGCATCTTCCCCAAAGAGCTCCTGGACTCTCAGAAGAACAACCTAATGCCCAAAGCACTGCAGAAGCATCACGGCATGTTGAGACACACATGATTAACACAGTTTCCCTTACTAGTAAGAAGAGACCAAGCCAACTGGAAGTAAGTTTCATGGTCTTGAGATCAGATCCAGAATGATTAAAAGGCAAAGCTGCCAACTCCACTTTCAGTCATGAAGAGCATTCTAGCTCTGTCCCACTGGCTTTCTACATCAGTAAAGGCATTGAGAACATGGACATGAGATTATTTCTCAGTCCCAGTCCTGATGACATCAGTATTCTGTTCTGTTTACTGTCAAGGAGTTTTGAAACAATGGCATTTTTTCTGGCAACGAAGCATCAGTTTGGGCTTGCAACTCATCTTGGAACAGCCTGAGTGACTAGGAGATATCATTCATGCGTCCCATCGTTGTATCTGCTCGAGAAGTAAGTCAAAGCATTGCCTTTTCCCATCAAGTGAGAAGCCACAGGATGCTCTTCGCTCCCAGAGCTGGACAGTTCCTGCTACAGTCTGAGGGGTGGCATTCCCGGTGGTGATTGACATCAATAACCACGCTATTGTCAGTCTAAAACACAAAGGCATTACACACAGCTTTCCTCGCTGTAACCTTAGAGTCAACTCCCACATCCAGTGTTTTGGTACAACGCCTCATTTCTAGGCATATGTGTGAGAAAGCAGACATTTAGGTTATCAGTGCAGTGGGCAGGAAAATCTGCAATACTTCTGTTTTAAAAACATACTGAAAATGAAAACATGGGCAACATACCACATGGTTCCTAGTGGAAGCTGCCATCAGAGGTTTTAGTCATAAAACGGAGCTGGATGTTTTGGAATCAGAAACGATAGCTGAGAAGGACTAGCACTGAAGGGTAATGATCTTACAGAAACAGTTTTGCTTAAACAAAGAGCAACTGGAAATATTTGCATGTTTGAACTTAATTAAAGCAAAAAAGACTCACTTCTGGAGCCACTTTAAACCTCCCAGCGCTACCGATAATGCGGAATTAGGAACATCAGCACTGAGCTCCTGCACAGCATTTGACACCTGTGTCTGTTACACACCTTGAATCTCTCCAGGCTCCTTCAATAAACCTTCATCTACAGTCTCAATTTTTCTTCTCTTCTATGTAGAAGGATTAATATTCATAATTTCCAGCAAGTTCCACAGACACAGAATGCTGAACCACTACAGGTTTTACAGAGCAAACAGGCACTTACCTCCACTCAAACTAACTAGCTCTGCAAACTGGCATCAAAGGGCAGAAGAAACCTCCAAAGAGGTGCACTCCTCCACCTGTCAAAGCAAGGGGACACCTCTAACTTTTGGGCAAGACAGGGGGGAGCAGATCAAGGAGACAGGAAGCAAGAAAAACAGAGCGAGGAAGAGGGAGATGAGGCAGAGGATGCATCTGCATCAGTATGTTCTTCAGCAGCAATGCTGGTTTTCAGTGTTCCCCTCCACTTTTCTCATTTCTACCTTGAGTCACTGTTCACCTCCATTTCAAGGGACTTGAAAAAAATGTTTCTGAAACTGTGCTACAAACAGGATCTTTTAAGTAGGTTGAGGAAGAAACCTCCTTCGAAAATCCAGCTTGTCTGAATTCCCGATCATTCTGTTTTTCATGAATACAGAAGACAACCACCGCTTTTTATCTTCACATTCTATGCAAAAGGAGCAAGAAATCCCAAAAATCTAGTTTTCTGGAAAAATCAGATTCTTTACTTGAAACAAATAGCAGGTACTTACAGGATTGCAGAATTACAAAAAAGCTACAAGATCAGACAGAAAGAAGGAAAGGAAGTGTTCAGATGAAATACTGAGAAGTTGTATTCACACATATTTACTTAAACATCTATGAAAGGGGTAGGAAAGATGTAATTAGCGAAGTTTTTAGACACTTTTGCTATTTCAGCTATGAGTTAAAAATGCTTTACCATATACATCCGACATCACTAAAGATTTCTGCAGGTGATACAAAGAAATAACCAGGACTGGCATTTTGTGTTACCAAAATAAAATAAAATAAAGCATTTTCAGCTTTTTCATACATTATTGAGCGATGAAGAGGAGAGCTAGAAGCTATTTTAATTCACTCTGCAGACCACTGTTTCTTTGAAGAATATGTTTTAAGAATCCCTTAAGCAGAGTAAAAAAATATTTCCATCATTATCACTCTTTAAGAGCGTCAGATTATTTTAAGAACAGGCTAATTGCTTTTCTTAACAAAATTAAAAAATAGGAATTCTGAAATCATGCCAATTTGTACTTGGGGATTTTTCCCATAATTACTGAAATCGAGTTTTCTTTCTCATCTTCATCCTCCTTCCCCGCCCCACAAATATAAATCTTCTCAAACCTCATATATTAACACTTAGAAATACTTCTATCCTTGTGATACTTTAGCATGGCTCAAGGCCTGAATATAACGCAGATACTTGAACAGAAGTTGAAGACAACAAGCGCAGGGAAGAAAAAAATAAGTTGTGAACTGGTAGAAATCTTACCTAATGTCACCATAGAAAATATCAAATTCAGGTAATCGTCCTTCTTAAAAAAGAAAAAAAAAAATCTGTGACATTTGCAGAAGGAACTGTCAGCTAGATGACATTTTTCTTGACCCAAAAAAAGGTCTTTATTTTGTTAGGAAAATAGCCTGCATGGCAGTAATTGAAAGCTTCCTTGTCAACAATGGAAATGGCTTTAATCAAGCTATGAAAGCAGAAAGAACCAGGAATATTTATTTATTTAAAGCTAGAAAAATAAAAAGAATCACCTACATTTCCCTCAGTTGAGTAAGAATTCCTGTTTTCTTCATTTACACAATAAAATTGGTGTGCTTGATGAGATAAAGTTCTCATCCCATATTGTTTACTACTCTTACTAAGCAGCAGGCTCGAATACAAAATACTGAGTATTTAAAAATTCACCGTCTGTTCCTAATTTTTGCATTAACAAAAACACCACCAGAACATTTTTAGTAAATAAATCCATTCACCAAATCCACTGCAACCACCAGGGCTTCCCAGCATGTTACAGCAACAGAAATCATCATCATACCACCCAAAAACATATCAGTGGAAATAAAAAAAAAAACCAACACCCAAAAAAACCAACAGAAAGACTCACTCAAACTCCAATTATACTTCAACGCTGTCAGAAGAAACATTTCCTTTTGGCAGAAGCTTTTTAGTCTGCCTTCACTCCCAGCTATTACGAATAAATCAAGGAGGGACTACAAGCCACTACAAACTCCAGAGAACCAACTTCATTTACTTTAATAAGTTTAATCCAGGAAGCGGCAACATAACATTTATTATAAATTGGAAGCATACACATTGGGGCAAAGCAAAATCAATTGATTGCAGTCTATTTTTTTTTATATAATCATACCGCATACATGCATTAGATGAATATTGTAATTTTTTGTTGTTAGTAGTATCTGAAGGCAATCTGGAAATTTATGTTGAGTTTGCTTACTAAGCTAGGAATCCTGTCCAGAATTCAGGTCCAATACATTCCTAATGGCTCGGGGGGTTATCATAGCCCAGAAGCTTGCAACAATGGAAATGAAACGTTTTCTGTTTGACAGTAATGTTCTATGCAAACACTTGAAGCCATCACGGAATATTCCCTGAGTACAGATAATTATTCTACAACGTGCTGTCAGGAAACGGTCGCTGTGCTTTACAATAAACCACACTCTACAGATCGATGACCGGGTCCTCCTTCACCCAAAAAGCCTGTAGAGTCGTACAAGACATGAACCACGCCAAAGCTACGTCCCACAGCCACAGCAAACGCGTGGCTCTCACGAGCTAACCCAAAACTCTTCACCTAATAGATGCAGCAACCAGAGAACTCCGGAGAGATGAGCCAAATGCGCCAGGAGCCAAACCACGACTCGAGCAGTCAGCCCCCAGTTTAAAGCAGGAATTTAAACACGGAGTCTTACGCAGCCTAGGAAATTTCCGTGGCGTAAC